ATAGATATTGAAAACTGTTTTGATCTAATTTTAAAGAGCTTAAAAGAAAAAAGGAAATGATCGTTTAAAAAAACAGGGGAAAAGATTCCATTAATAGTAGCAACTGTCGGAATGTGTTGCCCAGTATAAATTAAATAGAAGGGGTAATTCACCATGTCTGCAACTAAAAAAGAAAAAAAAAGCAAAGCTAATTTTTTTTCTGCCACTAAGATTTATGAGAGCAAAATTCCTAGAATAGTAAGCACTGGCTATTTTGGTTTCATTATTAGTTTTCACCCAACCCTGGAAGCTGACATTAGTGTCACATTCCCATGAACAAAGGAGATTTCACTGTGTGACAATTGGCAATTAACTTTCCCATTCCATTAAAACTGGATTGCCAGCCAGGGTTGTGGTCTGTCAATGGACTACAGATTCTGCCAGTCTCTAGTGGCCATCATTTAGGTGGTTCTCTTGTGGTTCCAACCCAATCATGCTGGGTTTCTGCACCAGGCCACAGGATTCCATCCTCTTGTTATTCTGAAATGCACATTTTCAGCAAATTCAAATAAGTCCAAATGAAATCAAACCATATCAAATCTTTGTTATAGTCACAGACCAGCAGAAGAAGGATATGCTAGAACAATAGTTTTAACAAAGTTAAAAATATGTAAAACAACATTCTTAAAAGAAATCTAATGGGAGTAAAAATATTAATGAATGTAGGGGAGCATAAAATTAATATATGGCTAAATATGTCAATTACATTGCTAGGAATCTCAAGGAATAAAACTAGTTCATTAAGGTTACATACATTTGTGTTTAGATTTTTAGCACCATCAAACCCATGGCATTTTGGCTTGGCCGGCCACTCGCCTCAAAGGCAGAGGTAGGATTCAGGTCGTTGGGGCTGATCACATCACTGGCTGGACCCACCCCTGCCCATTTTTTGGCCTGTTTTGGGGGGCATTTTTGGGCCAATTTCAGGCTGTTTTGGGGGCAATTTTCAACCGTTTTTCAGGCCATTTTTCAGGCTGTTTCAGGTCATTTTTTAGGCCCTCTTCAGGCCACTTTTTGGGCTGTTTTCAGGCCATTTTGGCCTAAAAAACGGCCCAAAATGGCCTGGAAAACAGGCCAAAAAATGAGCAGGAGCAGGGCCAGCCAGTTGTGAGATTTGCTGGTTCACCAAAATGTGCAGAATCTTAACTACTGGTTTACCCAAACTGGTGCAAACCGGCAGCAGCCCACCTCTAGTCTAATTGAATGTCTTTCCTCTACTAAATAGGTTTACAAACCTGAAATAGACATATCATCTCTGTATCATCCATTTTCCACTCTTACTAACTGGGAGTTATGGTAAAGATTTACTTTTCTTAGGGAGAAGTAATGCATTGGTTGATAGGTGCTTCTAAGTAATAGGGCATCCACTGCTCCTTCTTCAATACCTCTAAGATTTGCCTAAGTTTATACAATGATAGGATGGAAAGAGTAGCCAAAATAGAAACTATGATGATACATTTTATAACCAAAAAGACTGAGTTCATTCTCCAAAATCTCAGTTTTTAAAAGGATTGTATAAAAGGTGAGAAGGAAAACATAATAGAAAATACATGTAAGTCCTTGAAATATGACAGTTATTTAATAGCCATTCAAAGTTACGACAGACCCCCTCCCAAACTTCTTATGACCCCATTTTGAAATTACAGTTGCTACAATACACACACACAGTCATTCACGCTTAGAACTGACCAGTATGTTGTAGTGTTGTAGAAATAAAGAACTGAAGGACATTCCTGGGTCAGACAGATCCTGTTTATTTTTGCGCAAAGATTCAGGGCTTTGTTTGAAAGTTGCAACCTGAATGAAGATCGGTCATTTTTCTATTACTTAAATATGCTTTCAAGACAAAGAGTTCCATGAGCCTTTTCCGGCTTCCATATATGGTTACATTAAAAATACATTTCACTTACATTACACTTTACTAATTATCAAACCATTACATGCTACTTAATATAATTATTTTGGCTATACATTTTCACTACTTCATGATTTAACCATTATACCTTAACTAACCCATCACTTCATGTTTTACAACTGTTCTTTAAAAGCTGTAATGTGTAAATGCAGAAATTATGACTATACTTTTAAACAATAAATAACTTTTTGCATCCCCTGTATCCGTCCAGATGTTCACATTTGATTCTGTTAAAAAGATGTATAGAATCAGAGAGTTGGACACAGGGCCATAGGTCAAGTGATTAGGGGGACATCCATGAACTAATTGCTCAGTTCTATTCTCCAAACTCCATTCTTAACTTTTCTGCTGGATGACAGCTGAGCCTTATCAGAAGATATATTTGACTAATAAGGCAGTCCAGCTGCTTTTAGCCAGCACGTATCTTTAAGTGAATAGATGAGCTCATTCAAAGGTTGCTTAGAGTTCATAGGATTTGATCTGACTTTTATATACCTGACTTGGAATGATTATTTCTTTTATTCACCTTTTATCTTCTCTTATTTATCCTGATGCCATCTCATATTCCCCCCTTATGGAAGTTTTTCCATGCATAAACTTTCATTACTGCTTTCACAACATTCAATGTCTTCTAATACACAAAGCTAATATCTACCATTCCACACAATACATAACATATGATTAATCTAAGCAAGATAGTATTCTCTCCATTCTTTTCCAGACCCCATCTCAACATATGTGTCTGTATCCTGAGCTTTTTCTTCCATCAGGCGCTCTGTTAACACGAACGCCTGCTCCTTTTGCATCTCTTTTACTGCTCTGATAGATAGCTGTCTTAGTACAGGGATAACACAAGGAATAAAGACCAAGCCTGCTACAGAACAAATCAACAAAAACAATATTTGCTTAATCCACCCGGACCCAGGCACCCAAGAAAACCACATGTCCGATGTGTGTAATCTTTGACCTATCTTGGATGCCCTATCCTGTAACTCCTTGGCAATTCCTCTGACCACACCTGATTTGTTCATGTAGAAGCAACAATCTTCTCCCAGAAATAAACACACACCTCCTCTTTCTGCGGTTAGGAGGTCTAAGGCACGTCGGTTTTGTAAGACCACTGCAGCCAATGAGTCTATTTGATCTTGGACCTCTACTATCGTCCCAGCTATCTGATTCAAACTTTCTTGAAATTCCTCTGACAGTTGTTGAAACTGAACTACTGAGTGTGTTAAACCACCTATCCCTGTACCCACTGCAGTTCCTATTCCCATGACTACTAATAGTGGGATTAGGATGGGTACCCGTTTTTGAACATGTCCCATGAGAGGAACAGGGATGGTGTTTTCTCTCACTGACAACACCTATTTTAGGAAAAAGGTGTACTAGTGTGCATGTTCCGGTCCAATTTGTTGGTAAACATAAATACGCATTTGTCCCACAATAAAAGAAAACTCCCTTTTCCCCTACACACACACCTATGTTCATGGAGAAAGCATGGGCTCGATGGTCTTTTCCATTAGTCCAGACTCCCAAAGTCCCTGCTACAAACATTCCGGCCAGAGGCTGTAATGGGACTTCTAGGGAAGGGTCCCTTTGCTTATCTCTGATGATTGGGCCTTCTAGAAGATATCGGGAGGTACTATTCCCTGGGGGAAAGAGGACACACATGCCAGTGCTGGATCTAATGGAGAGCCAGAGAGGGAAACGAGGGGGTTGAAATGGATTGGGGCACCTTTCCAGGGAGGCATTTCCGGATCCCTTCCATCCTCCCCATCTTGTGATGAAGGCAGTTGGTGGTGGGGAGAAAGAGACCTTATGACGAAATGAATGATGTGCAGAAGGAAAAAGATCTTTGGTTAGTTTTACATCTATAAGGTCTGTTTTAGGACCAAAGGAAATTTCTGATGGACATTGTTCTTCTGTGAGGGATCCTACAGGCCTACCAGATTTCTGATGTCTCTTTACACACAGTGAAGGTGTCCCTATGAGTTCCACACCCGTGGCTATCGGGCCAGCAATAGGAAGGCGGCTTTTTCCTAGCCGTTGGAAGGCCTTAAAAAAATCTCCTTGTATTGGAGACACTGGTGCTTTATTCCTACTATCTTTTTCAAGGACTATTGTAGCTTTTGTCCTTGCCCAGAGTTGTGGTTTGACAGGAACTGCATGATAAGATGAGGGGCTAGCAGATAAACACAACCAGCATTTTTCACCAAGGTTAGGGTCATACTGATTAACAAGGTCTTGACCCACTTCCAGTATCTTTGATATGTAGTCTCCCCTTCTCAGTTGTTGCATGGGCCCATTCTCCTTTTCTATTCCCCCCGGTACTGGGATTGTTAGACTCTTGACTTTAGGTTTAGGAGTGGGTTTGGGTCTAAGGCTCCCTCCCCACCTTATGATACCACGCTGTTGGCGGGAGCGGACTTTATCCAAAGGGTCCCCATTCAGTGTTGTGATGCTGTTGTTTCCCTTAGGATTTTTGACATCTTCAATTCCTTCTACAGGGACAAGGGGAATTTCTTGAACATCCACACAACATGGGGAACTACTGTTCAAGTTAGCATCACTCACAAGACCTTTGGCTAATAGTACCCACAACCCCAAATAAATCATCATGACTTTATTCCCACACCCACAGGGCCTTTAAGAGCGCAAGACCCGAATTTTACACGTTCACCACGTCCGGAAGATCTGTAGAAGTGTATGTAACTTGGGTGAGGTCAATTTCAGGTGGATCCCTGGGTTTCCCACAGAGCAAGTCCTTGTACATATAAAACAATACTCCCAGAAGTACTAAACCGGTGATGGCCCAGAGTCCCCACACCCAATCTTCCCAAACCATGAGTGTGTGTGCTTTTTGATAAATGCTTGCTGAATACTATCACTGTTAATGGGTGTTACATTAAAATCTACAATTGTGGAATGTTGTCTTTCTCCGTTCCAAGCTTCGGCTGTGCGTAGAGAACCAGCTTCCGGGGTGGTTCAGCAAAGCTTGACGATCACCACCGCGCTTGGAGAGCCCGTTACCGGTAGGGCTCAGCTAGATGTCTTCTTGAACCTCAACACCAAGGGCCGGTCAGTTGTTGTCACCTGGTATGTGGCTGGATCACTTTGGTCTGCGGGCTTCAGTCTCGTCCAGTGGATCCAGGACCGTCCTTCCAGGGTCTTAACTGCAAGAGGTGAACACATCACAACAGTATATGGCCCTTTCCATCTAGGTTTTAAAGGCTCATTTTTCCAATGTTTTATCCATACTCTATCTCCTGGTTTGTAGTTGTGACCTGCAGTGGTAATAGGAGGGGGTCTGCATTCCTGCATATAATGCCTCAGTTTGTTGACATGATTGTTGTGCTGTTGTAACTGCAAAAGTAATTTTCTTGCTTCTACCCCCCCCCTTTTTGCACTAAATCTGGCCAGCCTTGAAAATGATGCTTGAACAAGGCAGGGGGTCTCCCATACAGAAGTTCGAAAGGAGACAGCTGGTATTTGGTTCGAGGAGCTGTTCTGAAAATGTACAAGGCCATGGGGAAAACTTGAAGCCATGGCAAGTGGGTTTCTAAGCACAGTTTTGTAATGATAGCTTTCAATGAGCGATTAGCCCTCTCACATTTCCCGCACGATTGAGGCCGAAATGAACAATGATACCTCCATTTCAGGCCTGCAGCTTCAGCCAAGTGGCGATTTATACGTTGCACAAATTCTGGGCCATTGTCAGAGCTGATGGTAGATGGACATCCAAATCTAGGGATTATTTCCTTTAAAAGAAAGCGTGCTACTTGTATAGCTAACTTATTTCGAGTGGGGAAGGCCTCTATCCATCCAGAGTAAGTGTCAATGAAAATGAGCAATGCTTTATAACCATGGCATTTGGGCATGTCAGTAAAATCCACCATTAAATAGTCCATGGGTAAGTAGGAGATTGGCTGCTGTCCTGGTGGTAAACGCGGTCCTTGCTTAGCATTCACTTGCGCACACGTAGGACATTGGGAAGTTGCCTTGGCAACCAGACTCTGCAAGTTGGGTATATAGAATGTTGCTTGCAACTGTTGGGCCAAAGCAGTTTTGCCACTATGTGAGGTTTGGTGTGCCTCTGATACTAAAGGCCAAGCAAGCGAAACTGGTACCACTAAGCGATTGTCTGGAAGAGTATACCATCCCCTCACCAAGCTGGCTTTCAAATCTCCTTCAGCTTTCTCTCTCTCTACCTGAGTATAGGTGGGATAAGATCTTTCAATGTAGGATTCAACTTCTTGTGCCATATAGAGGTAATAATCATTCCTATCCAGAGGCAGGTGTGCTGCCAATTTGGCCTCTCTATCAGCAAATCGATTGCCTTGTGCAACGAGTGTGTCTGCTTTCTGATGCCCCGGACAATGAATGACAGCTAAGGATTTGGGAAGTTGTGCAGCAGAAATCAGTCTTTTAATTAAAGGGGCATGTTGAATTGGTTTGCCTGTAGAGTCAGTGAAGCCCCTTTCCTTGTAAATAGCTGCATGTGCTTGAATAGTCAAAAAGGCATATTTACTGTCCGTGTACACATTAATAGTCTTTTCTGTGGCTAATTCTAATGCTCGGATGAGTCCCCACAACTCAGCTGCTTGGGCACTGGTACCCACTGGAAGAGAGGCACTTTCAATAACTGCGTGTTGGCTAACTATAGCATATCCTGCATAACGAGCTCCATTCTCCATAAAGCTTGAGCCATCAGTAAACCATGTAAGCTGAGCATTTGGAAGAGGGGTGTCAGTCAAATCTGGTCTACAGGAATACTGATGATCTAACACATGTAGACAGTTATGCAGCGGAAGGGATGCATCAGGAATTGGCATAAGGGTAGCTGGATTGATCGTAGCACATTGGTGAAGACTTATCTGGGGGTTTTCTAACAGCAGAGCCCTGATATTTATGCAATCTCTGGTTACTTATCCACAAGTGTCCTTTGTTTTCTAGGATTGTTTGCAACGCATGGGATGTATAGACTGCTACTTCTGAGGTAAAAGTCAGTTTGTTTGTGTCTCTCATAAGCTCTGCCACAGCGGCCAAAATTTTAAGACAGTGTGGCCAGCCTTGAGCCGGCTGTCCAATTGTTTGGATAAGTAAGCCACTGGTCGTTGCCATGATCCTTGCTGTTGAGTTAATACCCCTATTGCCACATTCTGACGAACATCCACATAAAGACGAAAGGATTTGGAAAGGTCTGGCAACCCTAAAGCTGGAGAGGATGTAAGTGCTTCTTTTAAATGACTTAATGCATTTGTTTGTTCTTTGCCCCATTCAAACGGGTCTGTTTCTGCTCCCCGGGTTGAAGCATACAGGGGTTTGGCAAGTAAGGCAAAATTAGGAATCCACAAGCGACAAAAGCCCATGACTCCCAAAATGCCTCGCAGTTCTTTTCGATTTTTCGGTGGGGGCAGCTGCAAGATTGCCTGTTTCCTAGGTAATCCTAAATTTCTCTGACCTTGAGATAGCGTGTATCCCAAATACGTAACCTCTTTCTTTACTAATTGAGCCTTTTTTCTTGAAGCTCTGTATCCACAGTCTTTCAGTAATTCAAGGAGGGTTTGGGTATTTTTGAAACAGTTCTCCTGAGTGGTTCCTGTCACTAACACATCATCTACATATTGAAGGAGACAGTCCCCTTCCTGAACAGGTTGGAAGTATTGCAAGTCCTGAGCCAAGGCGTGCCCAAAAAGGGTAGGAGAATTCTTAAAGCCTTGGGGTAATCTGGTCCAGGTATACTGGCAATGTCTACGCAATTTAGAGTCTTTCCATTCAAAGGCAAACAAGTCTTGGCTATCAGGATGTAAGGGTATAGTGAAGAAAGCGTCTTTTAGGTCTATGACGGAAAACCATGCGGCTGTAGGAGGGATGGTCCCCAGCAAAACGTAGGGATTAGGCACTATCGCGTGTAGCGTGACCACGGCGGCGTTAATTAGGCGAAGATCCTGTGCAGGTCTCCACCCCCCATCTGGTTTTTTTATGGGCAAAATTGCTGTATTCCATGGGGATTGAGTTTGTCTGAGTATCCCAGCAGCTAAGTATTTGTCAATTAAAACTTGAATGGCTTCTGCCGCTTCTTGAGGAACATAATACTGAGGTACTCTGATGGGCTTGTATCCTAATTTCAGTTTAACTTCTACTGGGGAGGCAAATTTTGCTAGCCCAGGGGGGTTATCTTCTGCCCACAGAGTAGGAACATTAAATTCTTTCCATAAACTTTCCTGAGTTGAATCTTGCATTAACATTAATCGCCAAGTTTCTTCCACTGGATGTGACACTGTTAAATACTGTCCATTTTCATTAAAGGACATGGTGGCTCTTAATTTAAAAAGTAGATCTCTTCCTAATAGAGGAACTGGGCATTCAGGCATATACAAGAATTGGTGTTCTACTAGGCCATTCCCAACCTTGCATTTAACTGGTTTCAGGAGGCTGTGTGTGGCTGGGGTGCCTGACACTCCTTGGACTCTGACTTTTTCCTTTGACAAAGGGGCTACTTGTTTATTAACTACTGATCGGCTGGCTCCGGTATCAATCATCATGCGGACTTGACGTCCTCCCACCCATAAATCCATCATGGGCTCCGGGGGTGGGTCCGTGGGGCCCTGGCCTCTTCAGTCATCCCATTCCATTTCAGCCAGGCCGATTACTTCCTCATTCCGGTGTGACTGGCTGGGTGGAATGAATTGCCTGTCAGCCCCCCTTCTTCCTCTGCAATCTCCTCTATTTCCTCTCATGCTTCGTCCTCGAAAGACACCTCTCTGATTTCCTCTCATCATCTGTGATCCACGCCCATAGGATTCTTCTCTGGATTCCCTTCTTCTACGGGGACATTGTCTTTGCCAATGCCCCTCTTCTTTACAAATTGCACATTGATTGGGTCCCAAAATGACCCCCTCAAGTGCCAGAGCTAACATCTCAGTCTTCTTTCTCTCTTTAGCAGCCTGTCTTTTTTCCTCTTCTTTCTCTCTGTTCAGGTATACCTTTCTAGCCACTTCTAAAAGCTCAGTCGTGTTCTTGCCTAGTGCTCCGTCCAAGCGCTGCAATTTTTTTCTAATGTCTGGAGCACTCTGGCTTATAAAACGTTCATTTAACATAAATCTATTTGCTGGATCTTCTATGGGTATTCCAGTATTTATTTTATAAGATTCTACTAATCTGGTTAGAAAACTTTCAGGACTTTCATCTCTTTCTTGAAATATTGTTGCAGTCTTAGCATAATTAACAGGACCTTTTGCAGCCTCTCTTAAACTGTTTAAGCACAAGAGGCGGTAATCATGTAATTGAGTTAAATGCTGAGCATTGTTTGCGTCCCACTGGGGGTCATTCTCAGCCCTCGCTCTTGTCTTGTCAGCTGCCTGATTCATATCAGGAAACATACGAGTTAATACCTTTTCTTTAGCAATCTTGAATTTTTCTCTATCTTCCATGGAGAGTAAGGTATTTAACAGTTGTTGAATATCTCCCCAGGTGGGCTTATGAGTTTGCATAATGGTGTTAAAAAGGTCTATAATTTCATATGGCTTTCGGCTAAACGGCCCATACTGTTGCTTCCAGTTGAGCAGGTCTGTAGTTGTAAAAGGCTGGTACTGGAACAGTGAACGAATCGCAGGGGGGCCTTGACCATTCATTTCATGAGTTAACATCTCCCTTAAGGGGGCCAGCGTTTCTGCTTTCTTAAGACTGGTTTGACTTCTAGTTCTGGAGCTTATAGGTTGAGAGTCTCCATCTGTTTCTTCCCCTTCACTTTTGACTTCTCTTTTGACTTGCAAATGACACTTTTGAGGTTGAATAGTTTTTGGCGTTTCATTTGCTGGCAGTGGTGGGGAAAGGTTTGGTCTTGGGGGTATGGGATGAGGGGAGCATAAGGGGGAGGGCGACTAACTTCTTCTTCTTCCTCCTGACTGAAAACTTTGTTTTTAGATATCTTTCTGTGGGTTTTATTTTTCTCTTTCATCAGGCACACTTTCACACACTCCTGCTGACATTTCTTAAGCCATGGGGGAGCTGCCTTTTGAGCAATCTGCCACTGGTCTATGTATGGAAACTGGTCCCAATGGCCCTCCCGAGTAATGACCCGATGTGCCTTGGATATCACTATTGGGTCCACTGACCCTTCTTCTGACCACCCTATGCCAAGAGCTGGCCATGTTTCTTTACATAACATCTCCAAGGTTTCGGGATTACACTGGGAGTCACCATAAGTTCCACTGTAGGCACTTTTAAAATTGGCTAACATACACTGCAACGGTGTCCGTGGGACACGGCTGTTTACCACCCCCATCCTAACAACACTACCACTGGCCCAAGACGCTGGACGTTCCAACAGTCGTCTATGGGAACCGCAATGGTTTAACCACCCACGCCAAAGAAATTCCTCACTGGGAGCTTTAGGACGACACCTTGCTCCCTGGGGGGTTAATCACGCCCCCCCTTCCACCCAAAAGGGGTAGGTAACCTTTTTACTTATACTTGCCTGATGCTTTTCTTGTCCTGGTGGCCACCTGTGGAAAGGTACGGATCTGGTCTGACCTGAGGATCCTTGACTGGTCTGCTTCTTCACAGCAGGGCTCACGGCGTCTTCTCAGTGAAAGATTCTCTTAGACTTCAATGGAGTCTTTGTGGCCGGCCTGTGAACGTTTCCCTGGAAAGGCGTCGAATCCTGCCGGGAGCAGCCGTCAGGCAGAACAAGTGTCTTTGTTCCTCAGTCCCTTCGTGGTAACGCCAGAAAATGTTGTAGAAATAAAGAACTGAAGGACATTCCTGGGTCAGACAGATCTGTTTATTTTTGCGCAAAGATTCAGGGCTTTGTTTGAAAGTTGCAACCTGAATGAAGATCGGTCATTTTTCTATTACTTAAATATGCTTTCAAGACAAAGAGTTCCATGAGCCTTTTCCGGCTTCCATATATGGTTACATTAAAAATACATTTCACTTACATTACACTTTACTAATTATCAAACCATTACATGCTACTTAATATAATTATTTTGGCTATACATTTTCACTACTTCATGATTTAACCATTATACCTTAACTAACCCATCACTTCATGTTTTACAACTGTTCTTTAAAAGCTGTAATGTGTAAATGCAGAAATTATGACTATACTTTTAAACAATAAATAACTTTTTGCATCCCCTGTATCCGTCCAGATGTTCACATTTGATTCTGTTAAAAAGATGTATAGAATCAGAGAGTTGGACACAGGGCCATAGGTCAAGTGATTAGGGGGACATCCATGAACTAATTGCTCAGTTCTATTCTCCAAACTCCATTCTTAACTTTTCTGCTGGATGACAGCTGAGCCTTATCAGAAGATATATTTGACTAATAAGGCAGTCCAGCTGCTTTTAGCCAGCACGTATCTTTAAGTGAATAGATGAGCTCATTCAAAGGTTGCTTAGAGTTCATAGGATTTGATCTGACTTTTATATACCTGACTTGGAATGATTATTCTTTTATTCACCTTTTATCTTCTCTTATTTATCCTGATGCCATCTCAGTAGCATCCTCCTCCTTGCCTCTCTCCCTCATTCCATATTTCCTGAAACAAAAATAATATTAAATACAGGTAAGGTTAAAATACAGATGATCCTCAACTTACAACAGTTTGTTTAGTGACCACCAAAGTTACAACAGCACTGAAAAAGTTATTTATGACCATTTTTCACACTTTGACCATTGCCCCATTCCCATGGTCATCTGATTTACATTCAGATGCTTGAAAACTGGTTCATATTTATGACGGTTGCAGTGTCTCAGGGTAATGCAATCACCTTTTGTGACCTTCTGATAAGCAAAGTCAATGGGGAACCCAGATTCATTTAATAACTGTGTT